TTTTTGGTAGATTTAGAAATTTGAGTAAGAAAAATACCAACATTATCTGTCGAATAGTTTTTATTTTCCCATGTACTTTCAATCTCATCTGCGACCATCTTCAGGAAGTTAAGTTTTCTTTGTGTGTGCATATGTTTAAAATAAATCCGCAAACTTGAAAGGGATGACAACGAAAACTAATTAACATGAAATTATTTACCAAACCTGTTTGAATTAAAATATGCTGCCTAATATACACAAAAGCTTTAGATATACTATAATAAAGTTTGAGGAAATAAAAATTACAGATTAAAACTAAATTTACTAATTCTTTAGAAATAAACACACACATACACACATGTATATATTTTAGTCTACCTGAGGTGTTTTCAGCTCAAGTATAATTTTATATATATATATATATGAAAAAAATATATACGGAAAAAACAAACAAAAATCCTTATATACAATTATGCTGTTTTAATGTTAATATGTCAACGTCGGACGTTTCAGTCTAATAAACCATCTTCAGGACATATTCATAAATTATAACATTATCAATACAACATGACAAAGACGATGTACATAAGAACAAGACTTATCCAAACAGATAACTGAAAGTTTTATAAGATCAGCGCTCCGTTTAAAACATGGTCACATGGTCACCGAAACGTCCGACGTTGACATATTAACATTAAAACAGCATAATTGTATATAAGGATTTTTTGTTTTTTCCGTATATATTTTTCTTCATACTGTCGGATCTATATCCATATATTTTTACATATATATATATATATATATATATATATATATATATATATATATATATATATATATATTCCTCAGTGGTAGCATGACTCTGGGTTTCATACAGTTAATGCACTCTTCAGAGTCTGAGACAGACAATTACATAATTTAAATTTTATTAAAATTATTTTAATGTCCCAATGATAAAGAAGTCCATATTGTATACAGCGACTATTTTTTTTTTTTATTTATTTTATCGTTTTTTGTTTAAATTTGTGGAGTTAAAATGAAGATAACTAAAAAAAAAATAATGAAATTTATTATTTACATTATTTACATTATTCGGACTGTTACCCTCATTTTCATTGCGATATTCACGACGTTTCGGCCGTTGTACGCTCCGGCCTTCTTCTGGTGATTGGAATTTTGAACCGAACCATTTAATTCGTTCACCGATGTAGTTTGTTCTAGTTCCACGTGACATGCCTCTTCCGGATATCTCAGTTATTTCACCTGAAGAAGGGCAGAGCGTACAGCAGCCGAAACTTTGGGAATATCGCAATGAATATGAGGATTATTGTCGGAATAACGTAAATAATATAAATAACCATAATGCCTTAAGTCAGGGATATAGACAGATATGAAATCTATAAGTAACATAAAAATATTTTATTAAATCCAGCAATCAATGGGCGATATAATATATACCGGGAGTAAGAGTAAAATTGTCCAAATTGTGTGACAGCAAAATCTTCTGTTGTTAGATTAATCTCTGAACCGTTTTCACTTAAAAATGATTAAAGATATCTTACTGGCATTCTCCTAGGTTTTTATAACACTATTGGAATCTATTTTGAGCAATAAGAATGCATAATGATAGAATATGACTTATTTGTACATATGTTTGAGCGAGGCCGACTTGAATTTCGGGATCAAGAGCGGGCAAATATTAAAGAAAGTTGGCAACATGATGCTCCACTCTGTGATAGCCTCACATGCAACTGTGGCTTTGTTGTAGCACTGTGAAAAATTGGCCCTGCTGTGAAGTCGCAGAAGCATGTGCCAATTGATACTCAATCACTCGAGTAAAATGGTTCAACAACGTGTTCCATCCATTTAAAAGTTTTGCAAATCACATGCTGTCTTCGGGAGACATATGCGTGTCCATAAAAGTTAATACCTCTTTATTTTACTGAAATCTCATTTCTCTCTCTCTCTCTCTCTCTCTCTCTCTCTCTCTCTCTCTCTCTCTCTCACACACACACACACACACAATATATATATATATATATATATATATATATATGTGTGTGTGTGTGTGTGTCATTCGCAGACACTACTGCCTCGCTGTATCGCAGCTCCTCAGTGCGTCTAGACAGCCGAATGCCTCAAGCCCGGATAGAAACCCAACTGATTTGGTGTCAAAGCTTCTACCACTGAGCTATCTTCACGCGACAGAACGAATCTTCCAAAGCTAGCGTATTGTTTTTGCAAAAGTATACAAACGCCAAGCAGCCAAAGTGCTCTATTTATTTTACTGAAGAGCTTCGCATTTACGCAGGTGACCGTTGTTTTTAGAATTAGCTTGTCGTTCAACAGTGCTATATATTATATTATTATAGATAACTAGACTCGTTTCAAAAAACCTCGAATTTTTGATTTGCTAATAATCAAATCAATCTCGAGGGAAAAAAAGGTTTTAAAAAAAGAAAGAGCTACAAACATGAACTTCTGCCGACAAAAAAATCGCACAGATGCAGGTCTGAAGCCCAAAGAAAAAACCCCGATACGAGTAACAACTAACTAACAAAAGCGCTCAATCCAACCGTAGAGCAGACCTAGATACACCTAGTGAACCAGACAAACCTACCTAGGTTTCACCTAAACGGATCGTCAGGGAAAGTAAGCCTTAATTCCCTGACGATCCGTTGACTGCAGGTTGACCCTATATCTAGCAACAGGACTATGCACCATGCCACACAAGAAGGAGAACCCGGTCATAACTGTCAGAAAATTTCTGCAACATCGTCCATACATCTGGCGACTGCACCCAACTTGATTATTATGTGGTGGGGGCACAGTTGAGCGGGAGATCAACAAAATTCCTTGTAATACCAAAGATGAATTGAAGGTAAGGTTTATGGCAGCATTCACCAATTTAAACAAGGCGACAGTCCAGAAGAGTTTCAGAGTCCAAAGTCGTCTGCAAGACGTGGTTGAAGGCAATGGCGATTTTATTGAATAGATTTATGTTAAAACATAAAATAGGCCCACAGTAGATAAAGAGAAATTTAAAAAAAAAACTTAACTTTTAGACTTAAACCTTCGCAGATCTACTAAAGTTGAAACTGGGAAAGATAAGTATTTTGAATATTCCATTATATACTATATATACATGCATATATATATATATATATATATATATATATATATATATATATATATATATATATATATATATGAAAATATATAGAAAAGGGGAAGGAACTGGTTAGGTAAATAATCCAAAGTCCCTTAGTATGGGACATCTTATGTCGCGATTTGGAATCATATTTTAAATTAATTATATTTATATATAATATATATATATATATATATATATATATATATATATATATATATATATATGTATGTATGTATGTATGTATATATATGATAAAATAAAATACGGTTTTTACGGTATGCTATATTTTTGTTATCTATATCAGGAAGAGAGCCTAGATAAATATGATTGGTATCGACATAGATACTAAAGTCGGATGTCTCCACTCTTTTTCATGCTTAACCCGACTGTGAATCAAACTGTCGCCATCAAGTATATAAACACACACGCACACAAAAACACACACACACACACACACACACACACACACACACACACACACACATATATATATATATATATATATATATATATATATATAATTGTTAATTCTTTCTTTTGTTTTATGCTTGAGGTAATCCTAAGTTGCCTGTTAAATTATGGAACATTTATCACCTGTGCATGACACTTGAAAAGCTTTATATAAATCTTTTGGGGGTAATTTGAACTCTAAGAGATATAAAAGATTTGGAAAATCTTATAAGTTAAGTTGTGTATTTAAACACCTAATATTATTATTATTATTATTATTATTATTGTTATTATTATTGGGCGAGAGAACAGCATGCCAAAAAATGGCCCTGATGTACAAACAGGCGAAGCTCAGTGTAGCTATCCTGACAACAAGTTCAGCAAGGGTATACCAGGCACAGGTAGCACAGCCAAATTTCCATGATATTTTGACAGGACGTTTTGATAAAAAGAAGCAAATAATTTTGCTGGTGGGGTTACGTAGGAATTCCCTTCAGACATTGTCCAATTGAGAGTTTTCCTAAGTGTATAGATGTAAGTCCCAGATCGCCTTGTCTTCCACCAGCTTCAAACCTAAGAAAATAAATCATCAAACTGCAACGTTATTGCCCCTGACTTGGCAATTTGGCTCAAGTTCCCCGCTCCCGCCATTATGTAGAGTCAATGTGACCTTTCTTTAAGTCATGGTAATTTTTCTGATGAACTTTCCTTTATTGTACCTAGACTTTATGAATTTAAGCGCAGTACTAGATTGACAGCAATTGTCATCATCTTCCTGTTGAAATGATTAGAGTTAAGCGTAAGTTCTTTGTTAACAGTTTATTCTATCGTGCTTCCTTCTTGTGGAACACTTTCTCGACTTCTATCTTCATGGTTAACTTTGAGCTGCAAAAGTTTAAATGCAATGTCAATCGTTATCTTACGTCTTAATTCTTATTGTTTTATTGTCCTCTCTCTTTAAAAGAATGTTCTCGTATTCTCTAACAGTCAGTAACCCCTTGCGTCTTAGTGATTTTATTGCTTTTCTTCGGGCGAAATGATAATAAAAATAAGTAAGCAACAGCTTATAGCAATAATAAGGAAATTTTGGTATCTGCAAATTTTAGAGTTGTAGTAATGATATAGAAACAATAAAATCGAAAAGTCATTGTAATTATGATAATGCCAAGCGAAATAGTAATTACTCTAAAAATTTTCTTATTAGAAAAATGTGAAGAGCAAAACATGACGTTTAAAATGTTGCGTAAATATCTATTGGGACATAATTAGATTTTGGAAATTAAAGAAACAAAGAAAAGTGTTTCATTTTTTTAAGTGAAGATGTCTGTTTGAAACTCTGACATGTTTGCTATTATTTTCTGCCTTTATCTGTTTATACGCAGTTTTTATTGGTTTCAAGTTGAAAAAGAATGAGAGCATGACTCTGAAATTTACACCACCTTCCAAAACAGTGGTGTTCAAAATTTCTGAGTTTTTCTCCGAACCCAAACACTTCCAGGTATTGAACTCACAGCTGCTAATTAACCAGGCGTACCTGAACCAACGATTGAATCGAACATTTCTCCCATTTGTTCGATTCTTCGGTATGTTCAAAACAGTAAACTCTTGCTCTGGGAATGAAACAGACAAGTGACAATGCTAATAGGAATATATACTTGAAAAAAAACAAAAACAGGGGGATATAATAAGTAAAGTTATGCACAAAGTCGTCGCAAGTCAATCCGGTAGTGAGTGCTACTTTACCACTTCGTCCCCAGCCCCTCAATCTCTGGCGTCTTCCTCTTTGGTTTGAGATGTCCACTCGGTCCGAACCGAACTTAGCGGTAAATGGCCGTACGCTCCCTGATTAGATTATTTCGACCGGTCAACTGGTCAAGTCCTGCTCGCTGCCCACGCTGTGTTAGTTTCTAGATCCAGTAAGCGGGGTGTTGTCTATACGTTCACGGTCGACTGGGGGTGTGCACACGGCTGTGAGAGTTGGCGCTAGGAAGTTTTAGAATGTGGCAAAATAAAACAAGAAATAATATCTGTAGAAGCCAGACACCAATGGGGAAAATATTGACGTCTTTTATATAAGAAGATAACATCAGAACAGAGGTTACAGGGAGAATAAAAACATTTAACATAAATGAGAAAAGAAAAAGACAAAATGCATCCAGCGAATTCCCAACAGAGAGAGGGTTTGTGTGTGATAAATACGTATAGATTCGCCTGGGGTAGCTTTATGACTAACTAATCCAATCTCATGCAGACTTCTCAAAACACGGGGTAGTCTTCCTTTCTTATTCTCCCACAAATCTCTCGTGACTCTCTCAACGACGGTCTCGTTCCCCGACTTTCTCTCCCATCTCTATCTCCCGTCTGGCCTCTTCCGTCTAGCACGACCGTCTGCCTCCTTTTCAGCATAACTACGCTGGTTTATATAGATAAATCTCTTTGATCATAAATCGACCATTGGCCCGGCACGCGACTATCATGAGTGCCAAAAACTATCCCTTGACATGTAAACCGATTCTCCAATTATTTACCACGAGTTCTTCTCGCTTCACCAAAATTATACTTTGGGATATCTAAACATTGATTCAACCTTTTAATCAAAACATATACTGTTAAACAAAACCAAATATCTCGTAGCCTGAGTAAGCTCTATTTCAATTTTTAACCGATAAATTTTATTTAGAACATTTTTTCATTGTATTTTCTAATGACCCAGATTTAAAACATCGCCTCCTGCCTGAGATCGTGTTTCTCATCGGTAAACACACATCTTAACCCCAATTGTACTTTGATATATAAACACCATTTCCACTTCCAGTCAATAAAAGTTATATTTGCGTGTGTGAATTCATGTGAGTATGTGTGTGTATACCTCTCTCTGTTACACTACTATTGGAAGGTCACCTAAGTCTGAGTCGTACTCAACAGTTCCCAGCTAGTAATATTTACCAACCTCCCCATGGGGTAGGATGTGACACAAGGACGAATTTAAGGTGGGGCATCCGAGCCCGTAGCCTCGGACTAAAATTCCGCTCAAGCCCCGCATAAATGGGTTCGTATCTGTCTACCTCCAGAGAGGAACCCGGACGAGGCTATGCTGAAGGGCGGAGTCTCGTCCGGGTTCCTCTCTGCTCGAAGGCGGAGTGTTCGACAACAGGTAAGAGCTGAGTAGCAACTTTTCAGCTTGTCCCTGCAGTCCGTTGCCTTACAAACGCTCATAGGTAGTAACTACCTATAGTGTAGTCACTCATGGGGGTGGCAGGTTATTCCATTACATCAGGACAAACGACAGGAAACTGTGAAGAGTCATGAATGGCCACGTTCTGGAAGAAAGAGAAGCTTTCAAAAGACTTGTTTAATTGAATTGGGGGAGGAATAATTTTGAAATTAAATGCCATAATTCCATTCTTAATTTTAATAAGACTGGTATTTTCCCTTATATAAAATATTTCCTCAGCATGGAAAATGAGATGACTACAGTAGAAGGAGAGGGTGTGAAAAGTGAAGAAAAGAAATAATCTTCAAACAAGGCTCTACAAATTTAAATAATTTTATTAGTGAGTTAATATATAATCTTTGTTTTCTTTTAAGTTGTTAAACAAGTTACCAAGTTTCTTGCAAAAAAGTTCCACGAAGATTTTTTTTTCAACAAGATAAAATAAATAAATTGCGTTAATATGAGTGAAAAGAAGTATATTAATACAATATGCGAAATTTTCGTATTTACGTTATTTTATTTATTTGTCTTAATTTCAGGAGTAGGCGAATGAGCCACCAACGGGGAATATTTGCACTGCAGCTAAATTACGCTTGTTTATCTTGCTCGTATATTTTCCCAGTTTCATGAATTATTTAAAAAGTGATAATTATTTGCAAGATGGTACTTATAACTCAATAAAAAAAAAAAAAGATTGAGCATGCGAAAAATTAGTTTGAGAATCCAGTATTCTTCACATTTCCTGTTCAGAATACAGAACAATTAATTTACAATTTATAAGAAAAAACCGGATCACAGGAAGCTAAATGTCAGATTTACTAAACTCAGAAGTTTATCAATTCATAAATATATTTCCCAATTTTCAATTTCAATTTTCAGGAGGAAAATATTGTTAATAATTTTCGTAGCAGACAACAGGAATGTCGCCTGCGAATTTAAAGTTTGAACGACGTTAGATAACATCGTTGATTGGTTAATAAATGCTAATGTGTCAATTTGAATTCGGAGCTCGTGTGAGCCTCATTTTGTTCAAAGAAATGATTTGATATCTGTATGAGGTTATTTGTGCACATAATTAAGATTTTACAGATATTACTTAAATCTACTGAATATATTTTACAATTTTTAAAGGGTTTTTTAGAAAACAATCTGTCACTTGCGGGTTGGATAAAGGATTCGATTCAAAACAGTGGTAAATGACCATGCCAATTGATACCCGACAAAGGCCAGTAAGTAAAAAAATCTTGTGAATGTGACACTTACGATGAACATACTGACCCTGAATAGTAAAGAATAAAAGAAAAATCTATCCTATATAGTAGTGAATGTTGGACAATGAGCTCAGAGATGAATAAGAGACTGAAAGCGACTGGGATGGGGTTCTACCAATAAATGAACGGAGTATGTGAGCATCAAGGAAGCTTTGAAGAAGGATCAGAACTGCAATGTAATGGATGCCAACAACTAGACCGAAATAGATGAAAAGTTTGTAAAAAGTAACGAGGAAAGAGGAATTCGAAAATTTAATACTCGCAAGGCATAATGAAGGCAAGAGAAGCAAGGAGAAACAGAGGGAAATCTAATGACCTATCTGATTGAATGATTGAGAGAAGCAGGGTCGAAAAGACAAATAGCCGCCGTAAAGGAACAAAAGAAGGAGGTCGCAGAGAACCATCATCTAGAGCAATAAAATTTACCGAAATGTGATTTAGAGCAAAAAAAAAAAAAGAAGAAAGTGGTGAAGAAACGTGATCTTCTATGTCTTGACCTGTTCTACGAATGATGAAGAATCGTTTTGAAATTAGTCTTTCATGTGCTTTTCAGTTTATACTCTTTTCTGTTGGATTAACGCCATTAACTATTTCTTAATTTATTATATACGAAGATTACCTTAGATTTGGTACAGGACCACAACTATCACCACGAAGAAAGAAACTCACTAATTGTTCGGGCCACCCACCTTCTCATCCGAATGGACTGATCTCTCTACTACTAATATGACAGTTCTATAGAGTTCTAAGGAGATCAGGTAACCATCACACTTCCGTCTCTCTACCGGAAGATACAGTTGGACTTTATACTCTTTCTGATTGTTACTGACTAACCTGCGTTCGTTTGACTACTAATCTCTCTGTTGTAAATACCTCTTCAGATATACCAGTATTTTTTTCCCTACGTATGTGTTTGTCCTTATTTCAATACACGCACGGGGAAACACTCAACATCTCAATACTAATAAAAGAACAAACAGACCGGGCTTGATTCTTATTAATCGTCCTATTTGTATTTTATCGACAGGGTCATCACAGGGAACTGAATGAGAAAAATCACTCTCGTTGTTTTTTTTTTCAGTATTTTTCCGCAGCATTTTCGATTTTATTGATGCTATAATGATTCGACTCTTCCACGGGTTTCCAACTACTCCGACTCTTTAGCAAAGATTATTGGCAGCAGTTCGCGTACATTGGCAAAATCATCATTTACTGTATCTAAATCAATTCACTGTTAGATGAGACCGTTGAGGAATTCAAGGACACTTAACACCCCGAACTTCTTGGCGTTAAGAATATTTGCATAACATAATGTATTTTCGAGTAAGGGATATTTACACTCAGAAATATTTAAAGTACTTAATCATCATTAATGCTTTTAGGAGTATAATCTGACTGAATTATATACAATGGACAATTAAAACAGAAATAGGGCGAATTTTAAACATATGAATGCAATTAAACAGAAGATAATGCATATTACGCTTTATTTTTATAAGATGATATATATATATATATATATATATATAAACATAATATATATATATTAAAATAAATATAATTATATATCTATCTATATATATATATATTAAAATAAACATAATTATATATATATATATATATATATATATATATATATATATACAATGCTACGAAAAATATACAACATATTACATAAATGTTTTTGTAAGTATTTCTAACACAGGTTAATGAAAGTTATACTGTTAATACTACATGCCTAAATATTTAGTGACACAGATTTTAAATCAATAAAAAATAACCCACGAAGAAAAAACAATATGCAAATTTTACAATGCATTAATTAATATGCAAAATTTTACAATACATTAATTAAATCATCTATTAATATCTTGTAGCATAATCATTATTGCTAATTACAGCATATAGGACTTTAGTGTAGCCCCCCCACCAACCTCTACGAAGTTCTTGTATGTTTCTTCGTTAATATTTCTTTCCATTCTTCACGACAATTTTTCTTTAGTTCAGGCAGGATTTGTGGGTCAGTAGTGGACAGAATTATTCACACCCTCTTTCATAATTACAAATAAATAAAGCTGCAGTACCTCAAAATTTCATAGAAGCTTCATGTGCATTTGTTCACAAATGATGAAATAAAGGATTTGAAAGAATGTGCAGTGAGGCCCACAACGAAATTTTTATTTTAATGTCAAATACAAAAAAAAAACGACAAAATATTCAACACAGCACAAAATTATTAGCCCTCTTGCCTTCAATAATCAATGGTGTAACCTTTCTTTTTGATTAGAGCCTTTAATCATTTTCATAGTCCTTTACAAAATCTCTACACATGCTGATAGAGATTTCTTCATTGTCAACTTGAGGATTGTTTCGTTTTCTCTAAATTTCATTTTTGCTCCAGTATCTTTATATTCCCTATTTTTATATTGACCCCTATTTAGACCGGTTCCACGTCCCGAACTTTCTTTTTTTATGTGCTGTATCATTTTAGGACTTAGGCGATCATGGCTCTCCAATTTCCCTTATCCCGCATAGCTCTCAATAAGTTTCGTCTCTCTGCCACCTTCCACAGACCACGTTCTGTCACCCACTTGCTTAAGTGCGCCAGTCATGTCATGCGTTGCCTTCCCTTGTCTCTCTTTCCCTCTATTCGACCCGTGAGTATCAGATTCTCCAGGCCCTCCTTTCTCATTACGCGTCCCAGAAACTTCAGCTTCCTCTTCCTAATGTTAAGTATAAGCCTCCTCCTTGTTTACATCCTCTTCAAGACCTCATCGTTGCTCACACGCTCGGTCCATGATATCCCCCAACATCCTTCTGTAGAACCACATCTCTGTCTCCTCGAGTCACTTCTTCGTCTTGGAGGAAACCGTCGAGTATTCGCTGCCGTGAGGAATGACAGATGTCGCGTAACAACGATATATATATATATATATATATATATATATATATATATATATATATATATATATATATATATATATGAAAAACAGACACTTTAAGGTACCATTGCAATAATTTATTTCACCAAAATCCTTTTTAAAGGATTTCGGATCATAAGGTAACACTTCCAACAATGAAATGAGAGGACAAAATGTGATTAGAAATTGATGGGTAGTGTAATTTTTGTAATTAAACAGGGAGGGTGAAGGTAGCGGTTAAAGAGACAATACAAAATATAGGGAGGGTTAAATTTACATCTCTCTTAAATAAGCTTTAAATTGGGGTAGGAGGAGTGACCTAACCTTGACCTATTTATGTGGTAAAAGAAAAAGGAAGTGATATGTAGGAATAGTAAGGAAAGGAAATAAAGTAAAAGGAAAAAAGAAAAAAATTGGAAAAAAGCAGACGTATCCAAAAGAGTTTTATGGCAAAGAGGGGAGGGAGAGGGAAGTGAATCGAAAGAGAGAAAAGGGGAAATATATATATATATATATATATATATATATATATATATATATATATATATATATATATATATATATATATATATATATATATATAGAGAGAGAGAGAAAAAGAGATTTATTCCGTTTGTTTTACAATTAAGCAATTTTAATTTTTCATTCATACTTAACAATTTAATTCATAATATTTCTATGATTCTCCGATTCTTTTTAATAGATTCCAAAGATGCTTTGATTGCAATAAATTGCTATGAAAGTTAGTTTCTTTTTTGTAATTGTCATCCTTGGTAAAACAGAAATAATTTTCTAGCATACGTTATTAATGGATCGCGGCAAAATATAACTGCTTTTATTTAATATCTGCGTTCCCATATATCATGCTATATTTATAAGATGACATTCATAAGCGATTAGGCCTACCGAAACAACATATCTTAATCTATCTATCTATCTATCTATCTATCTATCTATCTATCTATCTATCTATCTATCTATCTATCTCAGTATGTTACGTATCTATCTATTTATATATCTATCTATGTTACATATCTATCTATCTATCTATCTATCTATCTATCTATCTATCTATCTATCTATCTATCTATCTCAGTATGTTACATATCTATCTATCTATTTATCTATCTATCTATCTATCTATCTATCTAAGTATGTTACATATCTATCTATCTATCTATCTATCTCGGTTTGCTACGTATCTATCTATCTAGCTAGACAGCTACCACTATGTTACTTATCTATCTACTGATCTATCTATCTAAGTACGTTACATATCTATCTATCTATCTATCTATCTATCTATCTATCTATCTATCTATCTATCTATCTATGTATCTCGTTTTGCTACTTATCTATCTATTTAGCTAGACAGCTATCACTATGTTACTTAACTATCTACCTCTTTATCTATGTCGATATGTTATCTATCGATCTATCTATCTAAGTATGTTATATATCTATCTATCTATCTTGGTGTGTTACTTATCTATGTAGCTAGATAACTAACAGTATGTTACTTAACTATCTACCTTTTATCTATGTCGATATGTTTTTTATCTATCTAAGTATATTACATATCTATCTATCTATCTCGATGTGTTATTTATCTAGCTCGATAGTTAGCAGTATTTTATTTAACTATCTACCTCTTTATCTATGTCGATATGTTATCTATCTATCTATCTATCATAGCCTCTTCATATTCATATCTATGTGTCTATACATAAGAAACGCAAATAAAACAAGGAGAGAGAGGGAGAGAAGAAAGGGAGAGAAGAAAGGGAGAGAAGAAAGGGAGAGAGAGAATGCTAGAGAAAAACATGAGAGAAATTGAGAGAGAGAGAGAGAATTACGAATATCGAAAAGACAATAACAGAAATAAATGGGTGATAAAAAAAGACATATATTTATACATCTCTGTATTTATTTTTCATTTTGAGAGACATTTTCACGTGCTATCATTCCATTGCGTTCGAAGAGACTGATCGACTAAACGACATGATGAAGTTTCTATTCAGGACGTAAGTAAAGAAATTCATGAACAAACTTTTCCTTTATGAATTGCACTTTATTTTAAAAGACAATATGAATCAAAAACAAAAAAGTAACTAAAAAAAAAGCCTGTTATAAAAAAAATAAAAAAAAAAAGAGAAATATCATACAAGCGAATAAGATTGTCTGAATATTCAATGCCATAAAAAATATAGAAGCGAGACATCAGAATTTTATTTATGTATATCCATTTTGAGTCTTAAAAAGTATGCTTGAAATCATTCGACACAATTCATACTCAAACCCAAATGCAGAAAGCTGTAAAAAAAAATCTGAATTCCATTGGTTTAAAATACAGCGCGCTACAATTTCGGTACAAATACGTAACGCTTCGATTGGTTAAAAAATAAATGCTTCTCCGATTAGTCAGACAATATTTCAGGTTGACGTAATTTAATAAATAAGATAAGATAAAATAAAATAAAACGGCCTCTGACCAAAAATTTCAATTTATTTTGCGGAGCATTCTCAAGCGGGAAAGATATTTTCAAACTAATATTTCTATATTCCATGAAATATATTCATCGGTGTTTTCATATTTGGAAGATAGTTGCCCAGTCTTTACATTCCAGTCTTGAAAGAGTTCAAAAGCGTCTCGGAATCCTTGTTGAAGAAGAATTATTTTTCACGCTCCAATCTCTCTCTCTCTCTCTCTCTCACAGGCGGGATGTGTCGAGACTCTCACTACTCACATCGTAGCGATTACCATGGAAATTGCCGGGACGAATTACATTCCCTGGTTCCACCAGGTTACGTCTAGGATCGGCCATGAAACTTAGATAGTACCAAACGACCCACTGTATTCCACCGACGAGAAGGATGTTCCACTCAAACATCTTCTTTACACTAACCTCTACCCTGTTTTAATAAGGGAACGGTTTAGGAGGAGAAGCAAAAGGACAAAGGATGTTATGAACTGCAAGAGATAGGAGGAAGTGGAGAGCCATGAACGCCTACGTCATGAAGGGACCGGCACATAAAAGAAGAGTTATTTTCCACTCTCCAAATTCTTTCATACGGGCAGGATGTACTGTGCTTCTCCCCGCTCCCATCGTTACTAACATGGAAAGAGTGTTACCTTCAGGACAAGAGCCTACTTGCTATTTTCATAGTAGAAAGCCACAGACATTCCCTCTGTATTCCATCAATGAGCAGTTTCACTCAAAGAGCTTCTTCCCGTGAACCACTGCCCTGGAACAGACACCCAACAAGATGTTTCCCCTATCACTACAATCTTTACCTGTTCAAGTCTAGAGTTAACCGTTATTTTTCACTTCTATGCATATAAAATACCCCTTAACGTAACCTTCTACCTCGAGTGGCCCCCAAGCCTTGTACAGAATGTTGTGAGTCTGTCACGGCTCTATGACATGAAAACTGTTCGGACAAACTACATTCCTTGGTTTCAACAGGTCTAACCTCCATGACCAGCCATGCCACTTATATCGTATCAAACGAGAAGAAGGTTCTACTCAGTCATCTTCTTCACGCAAACCTCTGTCCTGTTTTAATATTTTGTTTTCTTTTTTGGAAGGAATATTTCGTTAATCCATACGCATTTGGATTTCGGTGTCACATTTATATCTTCTGTTAAAACATCCGACGGATATTTTAACTTCTGTACTTGATATTTATAAATTGTACTTTGAATTTTGAGCATGGAAACTTATTTGAAATGTATGTGTATATCAGTACAAGTATACTTTGTTAGAAAGTCGTTCATACAATATCTATCTATCTATCTATCTATCTATCTATCTATCTATCTATCTATCTATCTATCTCGGTCTGTTAAGTAACTATCTCTATCTATCAATCTCAGTCTCTTAAATATCTATCTATCTATCTATCTATCTATCTATCTATCTATCTATCTATCTATCTATCTCAATCTGTTAAAGAACTATGTATCAGTCTCAGTATCTTAAATATCTATCTATCTATCTATCTATCTATCTATCTATCTATCTATCTCGGTCTGTTAAAGAACTATCTATCTCTATCTATCAATCTCAGTCTCTTAAATATCTATCTATCTATCTATCTATCTATCTATCTATCTATCTATCTCGGTCTGTTAAAGAACTATCTATCTCTATCTATCAATCTCAGTCTCTTAAATATCTATCTATCTATCTATCTATCTCGGTCTGTTAAAGAACTATCTATCTCCATCTATCAATCTCAGTCTCTTAAATATCTATCTATCTATCTATCTATCTATCTATCTATCTATCTATCTATCTATCTATCTATCTATCTCGGTCTGTTAAAGAACTATCTATCTCTATCTATCGATCTCAGTCTCTAAAATATCTATCTATCTATCTATCTATCTATCTATCTATCTATCTATCTATCTATCTATATATATATATATATATATATATATATATATATATACATATATATATATATATCTCGGTCTGTTAAAGAACTATCTATCTCTATCTATCAATCTCAGTCTCTTATCTATCTATCTATCTATCTATCTATCTATCTATCTATCTCTGTCTATATCTATCTATCTATCTATCTATCTATCTATCTATCTATCTATGTTCATATCTATCTATCTATATATGTCTATATCTATCTATCTATCTATCTATCTATCTCAGTCTGTTAAATATCTCTTTCTATCTCTCTATCTCAGTCTGTTAAATACCTATCTATCTATCTATCTCTGTTCATATCTATCTATCTATCTATCTATCTATCTATCTATCTATCTATCTATCTATCTGTGTTGGTATATGTACAGGATGTGGCGAGTCTCCCAATGCTCCAATGCTACTACCACAGAAAGTGTTCGGACGAAATACATTTCTTGGTTCCGAACGGTCTAACCTTCACGACTTGGACCAGCCATGCCACTTAGATAGAACCAAACGATCCAAAATCCTTCCATATTTCATCGACGAGTAGAAGGTCCCACTTAGACATTATCTTTACGCAATCTCTGCCTGTTCAAGTCTGCAGTTAACCGTTATCTTTCACTTCTATGCATATAAACTTCCCCTTAACGTAACCCTGTACCTCGAGGGGCCCATGTTAGCATGGAAAGTGTTTTAAAATTCTGTTTTCGTTTTTGGAAGAAATATTTCGTTAATCCATAGGAATTTGGATTTCGGTGTCACATTTTATGTCTTCTGTTAAAAAAACATCCGACGGATATTTTATCTTCTGTAATTGTTTAATTTTGACATCTATAATTCGAACTTTGAATTTTGAGCATGGAAACTTATTTATTTAAAATTTATACGTATATCAGCATAACGCTACTTTATTAAAAAGTAGTTCATACAAATCTATCTATCTATCTATCTATCTATCTATCTATCTATCTGCGTTGGTATATATCTATCTATCTTAGAAGACAGAAAGGATGGGCCACACAGTGATTCTTGAAATTAAGGTAAACTAATTGGCGTATTCCATCGGCGAGAAGTAAGTTCCACTCAAACAGCTTCTTCCTTCAAGCCACTATTCTATAGCACAAACTCTCATGAGGATGTTTCCCCGATCACTACAGTCTTAACCCTCTTATCCACATAGACCTCACGTAAGGTAGTTCTTTACCTCGAGTGGACTCCGAGCCTTGTACAGGGCGAACTTTAGTGTAAAAAAAAATTTCTATTGGTCAAACTTTATTGTTCGTTCTTGCATTGTTAATTAAAATGTCACTTCAGATCACAGATCCTGTAACCGGTTACGCTATTTGCTCATCCATGTATAAAATATATTTAAACTGGTCCCACTCCAAAAATATCTCTGATTTTGTTTCGTGGTATATCTACATCTAGGGATCATTTAAAGTTGTAAGTTCAATATTTTGAACACAATTTAATGGTTTCTATAAAATATACTTTAAACGCATTTGTATGCCTTAAACTACAGATAAAATGCATTGTTTGTAAATAAATAATTAAGAAAAAACATATTGGTGGTATTTTTGACATAGAAATGTATTTCTATGATTCATAGAGTATTGTTTTTGCTTGGGAGTTTACGATTTACGATTATTATTATTATTATTATTATTATTATTATTATTAGAAGAAGAAGAAGAACAACAACAACAACAACAAGAACAACAAGAACAAGAACAACAAGAACAAGAACAAGAACAACAAGAACAAGAACAACAACAACAATAATAATAATAATAATAATAATAACAATAATAATAATAATTCGTAATCTTGCCTATTCGACCAGATCGATTTTTTCTGGACTGTACTCTATATCAGTCAGTTATGTGCCATGCGTGTTACACGCTTAGGTAACCATATATCTTTCGAAACATGACTGACGAGGCAGATTTTTCCCCGCAGTATGTTGCCATTTCTTTCTACGGTAGACAAGTTTCCATCCATCGGCCTGTCGGGCTATTTAACCATAGCTGCAGGGAGAAGAGGATTCATACCTTTCCCAAGGGTATTAGCAAGTAAGGACATAAGTGAACGTAATGGGTTCGACTGGAATTCGAACTCGGCTCTCCGATTCCTCAATCCGAGACCGCTATCCATTACTCCATCGTATAAAAGTGAACATTGAGTTCAACACCAAGAGACGACTGTCCGTTTCATACTCGATGATTCAGGCCTGAAGTTTGCGTTCAAGAATGACGTTGACCTCAGTTCCCACTTTCATATTTATATGCTAATTTAAAGTCACCCTATTTTATATTGAGCCATAAATATAGCATCTGACGATCTTGACAAAGATCATCCTTCTTTGAACATTGTCGAGTGGCGCTACGGAATAACAAACACCGAATTGTACAAAATAACAGAGACCACATCACTTGAGAGATATTAACAGAGTCAACAAATATATGAATAGCACATGTAACTCGAGAAGAAAACAATGGCATGATCAAGACGTTGATGTTCCACACTACTTAATGTAAAAGGTTAGGAAGGAAACCCCCATCAATAGTCGAAAAATCGATAACAGTTATTGGACTTGGGGAAACAATTTTTCCGGGTATTTTTACGAGAAAGATTTTATAAATGTCAACCATCGGCAGTACTGGCTGTTTGGTCAATGAAGGCTGAATGTTTACTTATAAGGAAACGGCTTATATTATCATTTAAGTTAGGTTCGCTATTCAGTCAATTTTTTTTTAAGTAGGTTATTTGTTATTTACACTTTCTTTTCTGGGTTCGATATGTCTTGCCAGTGTTAAATATTCCAAGCCTTGTTTCCTGGTTAAATTTTATCTATTTACATCTATATATATTTATATATTGTATTTGTATCTTTATTTATATTCATATAGATATATATATATATATATATATATGTGTGTGTGTGTGTGTGTGTGTGTGTGTGTGTGTGTGTGTGTGTGTGTGAAAAGTATGTGTATCTAAATATAAATACGGACATGCGTCTATGTTTGCATTAGCATGAGTGACATCATGACCACTTCCATAATAACACCAATACACGCAATCTACATAAATCCAAAATTTAAAAAAAAAATAATCAGTTTGTCTGACGATCGCAAAAACATGAAACCCAGGGTCACAAACTCACATCAATCCAACCAAAAATATATATATATATATATATATATATATATATATATATATATATAGTAGTTTTTTATTTATATTTTAAATTTTGAATTAAATTCTTAATGTAATATTTTAAATAGATAATTTAATTTGCATGTCTAATACTTTTACTTCTTAAAAGGGTCTTTTATTTACGCACTATGTTTAATTCTATTAAATAATATGTCAGCTTTTTTGAATAACGCTAAAAGTTTATCGTTGCATAATATCAAAGATGTTGCGATGTAGCAAACATTTCCGGTTTAGTTTAATTCTTTCTGGACAGTTTTTTTTTTTTTATCTTAATGTTAACGTTCTTTCGTTGGTTGAATTGTTATCAACAACACATATTGTCTTTCTTCGTTCTTTCTCTCTGTTTTTTTCTTCTTTTTTTTCTCTTTCTTTTTTTCGTGTTCATGTAGATCTTTCTCCTATTCTATTTACTTCTCTTTTTTTCCTTCTTTTTCTTTGGAGGTATGACGTGTTGGTTTTTTTTAAATTTTTCTTAACTCTTATATATCTCTTTTCTCTTTCTCTTTTTTTTTCCTTTTATTTTCTTCTCTTATCCTCTTCTCTTTGCTTTTACCTGTTTTCTTCATATTATTTTTTCTTTCCCTTTTATGGAAACCCTTTATATATTTATTTTCCTTCAACGATGCTTCTCTTCATGATTTAAAAAAAAATTGAATAATGGAAAAAAAGATAGTCATTTTTCATAAGTAGCATTTTTAAATAAAATCGTTTGCAACCATTTTTGTTCCTCACCTCTCGAGATGCATTCGCATTGAAGCAAAAATGCATCTTTGTCATGAGTACTTGTTTTCCCGTATGAACTATCTTTATGATAGATAAATAATATTTATTAAATATCTATATATATTTATAAATTGTATCTATATATTTCTATATTATATCTATATATATATTTATATATTGTATATATATCTGTGTTTATATCTATATATATATTTATATATTGTATATATATCTGTGTTTATATCTATATATATATTTATATATTTTATCTATATGTTTATATCTTATATCTATATACATTTTTATATTGTAACTATATCTTTATTTATATCTATATATATATTTCTATATTATAAGTATCATTTTTATTTAGTGGTTCACATTCTCCTTAAACCTTCCACATTTCTCGCATGCATGGTATTAAGAGCATTTGACGCTAAAGCCAAATCAGCGTCGCTTCAAGTCTCTTCTTTATTGATGAGGACGCTATCTAATATTCATATATGTTATTAGATATGACATAGAATGATCTTAGTTATGACATAGAAGGATATTAGATATGACATAGAAGGATATAAGATATGATATAGAAGGTTATTAGTTACGACACAGAAGTCCAGATCTATTTCAAGACACTGTCATATAAGAGGATGGATAACAGATTGCAATCCAGCACTCTTTTCTTCGTTTCTGGCGAAATGCTTCCATTTTTCAGGAACTTGCTTAGCTTTTGGAAAGCTTCATTTACTAGTCAAATGCGTGTTCGGATCCCTGTGTTGCATTTCCTATTGTAGCAATATCAGTCATCTGAGTTCTTATTAATTCGAAAACAGATGGACCTGTCACAAAAATGGATTCGGATCATATGTTTCCGGTCGATAGTTATCAGTATCATAAAATGGAATTCAGGAGCTTTCAGACGAAGACGACAAGACAAAGAACCATGCTAACAATAAGACTGACCAGTACCACGAAAAGACACAGAGAGTCGGAGCGGGCTTTGGAGAAGGACCGATAGGGAAGACGCCCGTTAGATTGCTCATTTCACTCTCAACACATCTACGCATCATCTGATCGTTACTCTCTTATAGCAGTAGGTTACAATCTAAAAAAAAATCTTGTCTTCACTGAAATTGTTGTTTCTCACCCGTGTGTAATGATATCCCAAACAAGGCAGGAGTGCCACTAGCACGCAAGGAGTTACAGAAAGTGAGAGCAAGAGTAAAGAGGAGAGTTTGGGAAAAGGATAGAGAAGGAAAAGGTCAAGGTCAAAGCTTCAGAAGATGTCGATTGACATTACATTTGAATATTTGAAGATTGTAGCTATCAGGGTAGTCAGTCATAGGAAGAGTGTTTCACTGATGGGAGGTTCGAGATAAGAAGCTGTTGGAGTAGAAGAGATGGCTACATTTAGCCGTTTCCACAGTGCGAGGGTGGGAGCGAGATGCCAACCTAGTAGCACGCTTAAATTCATTCAGTTTAGATACCAGTGAAAGTAGCTCGTCGGGGTAGTTGCCATGGCAATATTTGTAGAAAAGACAGAGGGAAGCCACTGCACGTCTGTGAGATAGTGACTGTAGATGGCATGCCAGATAAGGACTAATCACGTTGTATATCCGTCTCTGGATTTTGTCTGAGCTGCAACGTTATTATACTCTGTAACATCAACAAAATGATCCATATATTCAAACTTCTGCACCTGCTTGACGTCTATGTCGCCAATTTGTACCTCGCGTCTTGGGCGTTTGCTCTTGCTGATGACCATACTTTCTGTCTTCTTGCAGTTAATAGTTAAGCCTTTGTTAATTATTCACATAAACGGCGTACAAATAATCTGCCAAAGTTCTGCTTCACTTCATCGGCGTAAAATAAAAAGTCCTCTTTCATTTCAGCCATGACACCTCGTAGAACTGAGAGGCTCAAAATCAATCGTCAATACGAATGAATTTTTTATCCCGAGAAGTTGTTTTGCAAAAAGACTAATCCGTATTAGAGCAAGGCAATCGTCTTAAGGGGCATATAACTGTGCTGCGTTGGTTAATCCAACCAGTACGAT